ATGACAAATTCATATGTGCAACTAATGATACATTGATAGACTTAGTAAATTTCATACCAAATTTGGTTATCACTTTATCCAAATGAGACTCTTGATTACTACTCTATGTTTTCTCTCTTTGTTATGCCAAGTCCAAGTGAAACAAGTGGAGGAGTCTTGTAATTATAGAGACAAAGAACCATTTGAATTCAAATTCAAATATTATACTATGAAAGAGACATGATTAGTAATGGTCCATAATATATATCAACTGGTATAATCATTTCAAAGTGCTCAAGACAAATACTCATGTGCCAAGTTGATTTAAGTGATCCACCTCGCATGATCATTAATCAAAAGACATGAATCTTAAATTTGGAGTGACTTATAATTACTTGAATGTGACTCAATTGCAATTTGATGGTGATAAATTGATAATTACTTTGAGATTGCACTTGCATACATATTGAGATACTCATTCGATGAGACTCAAAAATCCTGAGTTGATTAAAGACACATTGCCTAAGGTTCTGATTAATCTGATATTTCTAATAATAGTGTTAATATATTATCGTTCAATTTATTGTCAAATCTATTCTAATATGTTGCACTAAACATGCCATTAGTGTGGGCATATTCTCCTATTAGCAAGAACTAATTACAGTGAAGAATTTGTCAAGATTCTTCTCTCTTTATTTTTTCTTCGCAAGTCAAACGGAAAAAGTCGAACCTTTGTTTGTAACATACGTTACAGATCTATTTTTTATATTTTTAGTGAAGTTATTTTTATTTCGAAACTGTAAGAGTTCTATTTTATTTTTTAGTTAGAATGAGTCGATGTAGTCACGTGTCATGTCCGTCATTTCTAGCTAATTAATTGGGTATAGTTTTAGTGGATTAGTGGGATTATGTACTGAAAAAAGGAAATGAGCCCTACAATATGCATGAAGCATTGACACGGAACAGCAAAGACCTGAATGGGGCAAGTAAATTGATTTCTATCCGGCCATTTCTCTATGCATTCCATGTGAAATACGTGCATGCATGATGTAGGACAATTGGTGTTAGAATTTGAAGAAGAATTGAACCAAAAATTGGCATAACACGTTGTTTAGAATAAACGAGCATAACTTTTTGCACCAATGTCAAAATTTCTATTATAATATGTTTTCGGAAACTTCTCGCAGCACTCTATAACGTCCCAAGCAAGGGTACCCCGATTGATGTCGTTGTCAACCTCAAATTTGCAGGTTAAGGCAATCTATCGAGCAATTGAAGTTTTTTTTTTTTTTTGCTTTTAATTATTTTAATTAAGTGAATGTCCATTTTGATCTTTTTGCTTAAATTAAGGTTTTCAGTAACTATTTAAAGGCTCTTTGTTTTTTTAAATAATGCAATTTCGTTTTTGAGGTTATTTTCTTGAGATTTACAATTTTCTTTTGTTGGGAATTACATTGGTAAACCCTAGAACTTCCGTTCTACGTTAATGCAATTTGGGAGTTTGTTCACCAAATCTTCATTCTCAAACTGCATCAGACAAATAGAACATATTTCTTCAATGCCCTGATCATCATCTCTATTTTTGCTCAAATCCAAATCTTGAAATCGACACACGGTAAGATTTAGAGTAAAGGCATGTTTGTTTTTTATTCTCAAATTTTATAGTAAATCAATTCTCATTTTCAACCGCACATTTTTTAATAAAACAATATTTTCCATCACATCAATAATTTTTTCTTCTTTTTAAATCACACATTTCCCCATCATATCACTATTCAAAAATCAATTCTTTTCCCAAAAATCAATACCACACAAGCACTAACTGAAAACATGAACTGATGATGGAAAATCAGAGGTGGGATTCCTTTTATATAGCAAGAATATGATCACCATTTTTTGGATTATTATTATTTTATTTTTTTGAAAAAATATTTAATTATTTTCTAAGTTATTGGCCTCTCGACTTAAAGTATGGGGTCATATGGGGTTAGCATATTATAAAGTATTTTGGGGTTAGTGTTTTGAGAGTACAATAATTTAGTGGGTGGGAGGAGCGCCTATGATGGCGGAGGAAGGCCGGCGCCGACCCTATACATACTTTTCCATATCTTAGTTAAGTACTTTGTGAAAACCAAAGGTAAACCAATTTTTTATTCACGTATTTGTTTATATTTTGAGTTATGCACAACTCACTCTTACTGTCTCCGACTTCTATACAGAAACGTACACGAAACAAATTCATTTGCTTGTTGACTTGAATAGTTTCAGTATATTTATTATTATGATGGGAAAAGACTTAACTCTACATTTCATAACGATCAAAATGAACGATTCGATTTCACTTAAAAATGAAAAAGGTCTAAAATCGGTCCAATAATCACAAACGGTTTTATCATTTCATTTGTGTAGTACCAACTGAGTCAAAATTAGAGCGAGTGCATTGATATAAAGCAATTTTTTTTTTTTTTTAAAAAGAGCCAATTTATTTATATCGAACTGAACTTTATTAAAACAGAACTTTTACATATTATGTAAAATAATCAGGTGGGTGAAGTTTGACTTGGTTTTAGCCTCCTTTAATATGCTTGAAGAATATGCAAATTTTAATTGTAAATTCACATGTTTGAACAATTTTATACTCAAGTCGAGTTGAGCTAATCTAGCCCCTGTTTGGCCTCCACTGATAAGGTTAACTATGATATATTTTTCCTTATATTTTCTTTCTTTAAAAAGTCAAACTTCTTAGATAGCTCTATGAAAAACTAGAATTTGAAAGAAAGGAGGAGAGCATGAAAAAGTAAGTTAGCTTGAACTCAACAAAAATGGTAAATTATATACAAAAATAGGTGAACCCTGAAGCCAATATACACTAACATGCATTAACGGGCTGTGGATAAGAAGGTTCCAATTTGCATGGTGAAGCATTGACATGCAGCAGTAAAGACCTGCACATAGGGCAAGTAAATTGATTCCTGTCCAGCCATTTCTCTATGCAGTGAATGTGAAATATGTGCTTGCAATTTGGAAGTTTATTTACTAAATCTTCATTCTCAAACTCCATCAGACAAATAGAACAAATTTCTTCAATGCCACGATCATCCTCTCCATTTTTGCTCAAATCCAAATCTTGAAATTGGCACTCGGGAAGATCTAGTACTACTTGTATTGGCTCTTGATGAAGATGAACATTATCCCCTCGATAAAATGCGTAGACGAGTAAGCCAAAAATGATAAGTAACGCCTGCTTTATTTGATGGAATGGAATCCATATGCAAGTGAAAAGGATTAGAGTAGCAGTGGATAAATGAGATTGGGCACATAAACTGATCATTTTTTCCTCTCTTTCTCTTTGAAGAATTTGAGTGTTTAGGAACAGAAGAGATGAACTGATGATTTAATCAGAGGTGGGCTTCCCTTTATATATTATGCTCAAAAGTCAATTCCATTTCTTGGATTTTTCTATACTGATAAGCCGCTGACTTTTAGGTTATATTATTTGTTGGGGGAATGTATTATCAATAGAATAATTGGATTTGAAAGTCAATGTAACTGTCCAGGCTCATATGGGGTTAGCATAATTTATAGTATTTTGGGACGCGGGAGATGCGGGATGAGGGTGGTGTTAGAGGTAGACTAATTTTATTTTATTTGTATTGGACTAACATGTACAAAAAAAAATTCATATAAAATTCCCTTTTGTAATTTAAGTTGAAGTGTATACTATTTACTAACTTAAGATAAATATCCAAAATATTTAGTGTACAATTTAGTTTGATAATCTTGGTTCACAACTCACACTCCAAAACATCACATTCATCTATTTCAAAAACTATTTTTTAAATCAATGACTCGAATTTTGATAACACCAACATTATCAACTATTATTGTCAAGTATGATTGTACAAAGAGCATAATTGTGCTCATAATACCCTAGACATGACTAGCTTGTACATAGTGACATGACCCAGGAAACAATTCCCGCTAAAAATGTACTCATGTTGCTAAGAAGTCACTCGAAATGCAATAATCCTCTCCTCATTCGGAAAATGAAAATCCTATTTTCTAGTTTCAGCTTTAGTGATCAATGACGTCTTGTCCATCGATTGCTTGTCTAGCCATCACCCATATCCACTTTTGCCGAGGAAGGTACGTTTAGGGTTTCGAGTTTAATGCCCCGACAACTTACACCGAACAATGTTGTTAATATGTTGAACATTTTAGTTGAGGACGTTTCAATCGAGAATGCATCCAACAACAAAAAATCGCTGTCGTTGATTGAGGACAAGGGTTTAATGCTAATCCATGGTGTCGGGAAGATTGTTCCTCGAGAGAAGCGTAACATTTTGAGAAAATCATGCGTCGAATAGTGATCTCTTGCTACAATTTCTATCGACAATGTTACACAGTCTTCATCACCGAAAGTACAAGTCGAAGAAAACAATACAGTTAGCTTTGTTTGGCCCCCATTTTTTGGGATTGAAAATTTTTAGAATAGTGATTGATGGAAGAATGTGTGGTTGAAAAGTTTTAGATTTGTGTATAATATTATTTTATTTGATAAATGTGTGGTTGAAATGAAGAGAGAAAAAATTTAATGTAATGAAATTTTAATGGGACTCAAACGGGGCTTAAGTAGGGAGTGCGTTCTATGGCGTGTAGAGGATGGATATTCTTTGAGATTTGCAAACTAGATTTCTGAAGTATTATGGCTTCTCATAGAAGCTAAATTACTTGTGAGCCTTAAACTACATACCCAGAATCTCGACCATGCCATAGTGTTCCTACCTTCATCGTGGAAGATATCTCGACTGTCTAATAATGTTGACATGACAAAAAATATATTTTTTATTTTTTATCCCGTTGAATGACTTTCCACAAACCATTTCAAAATTTTCTCATTAATGTAAGGGAAAATTACAGCCACGGTACCAAACTTTTCACTTTTTTTACAGAATTTGCCCAAACATTTAAACAATTCGCACACAAAGTCCAAATTGATAGTTTCCATCCGTTGACCAATAATAGTAGATTTTGACCAATTTTGACAAAATTAGGAGGGGTAAAATGGTAACTTGACAATTTTCTCATTAAATAAATTTAAAAAAAAAACAAAAAACTTNCCGTCAAATCAAAGTTGAATTTTTGCCTACAAGGAAAAAAAAGAAAAAAGAGTATATATATAATAAATTATTGAGAAAATTGCAACCACGGTACCAAACATTTCAAATTTGCGTAGACTTTGCCCAAACCTTTGTTTTGTGCCACCGGAGGTACCAACCGTTTCAAAAATATGCATCAGATGTCCAAATGGACGGTTTCCATCCAGTTGACAATTATTTGACCAAGAATAATAGATTTGGACCAATTTTGACAAAATGAGGAGGGGTAAAATGGTAACTTGACAATTTTCTTATTAAATAAATTTTAAAAAAAACAAAAAACACTTGCAATTTCTCCTTCTCGGCAACAATAGTGCCGGCACGGCCACCACCACCAGGCGGAGCGTGTAGCAGCAAATAACACAGTCAACTCATCACTCTTCCACCACAAATTCGTCATTTCTCTCGACCTTGCCACCGCCATCCAATAGCTTCAAAAAGTCTTCTAGCCCTAACATTCAATCGCCGTCAGAATCCAACGAGTGCACCATCATTTTCGCATCCTCATCCAAAATTTCGCCACTTACAGCCCTCACGCACCCCCACCCCCATATTTCCAAAAACAATCTATTGAATTTCCCCAAAAAACCACCCCCAATCCCCGCTGTCGCAACCGCGCCACCTTCCTTCACTTCACCTCCACCCACAAGAAGTTCTCCCCATTACAGTCTTTGCTAGTTATTTATAGAAACTTAAAATTAATGGCTTTTGTAGCAAAACAATTCTATTCATCTGCCGAATTTTCTAATCATTTGCAGCGTAAGAATTTGCCCTCCAACCCCCATTTTTCATCATTTATTCCCAATCAAGTTGTTGGCAGAAAATGTGAAAAGCCAAATGTTTTAGCCTGCAAAAAGCGTTTGTACATTTCAGCAGTAACTGGATTCAGCTATATTGGTGAACCAGAGAATTCGAGACCTCGAGACGCTACAATCCAGTGCAATGCGTATGAAGCTCATTGAGCGCAGCCCTCTCTTAATTCAAACACAAGATTAAACTAGAGACCGACCAAATCACACAGGCTGTCTAAATCATTAAGAAGTTACTTAGAGAATTATCGTGTGTTAAGCCTTTGATTAGTGGTCTAACTATACTCAATTATATAATTACCGACCATTTTGAGTGCACACAATCTCCGGAATTGAAAATTGAGATCTTGAATTATAAAGGTGCTTAAATTATTTTTCTGATTGAAATAAATTAAAAGAGAAGGCACTTGGAATTTTGTATAAAACTTCAAGTATTTTCGAATTTAAAATATTCTTTTTAAGTTTCTAAAAGCAGAATATAAAAGAGAGATTTTCTTCAAAGTAGTGAGAACTGAGAAAAAATATTTTTTTGAAAAATGCTTTACACACTGCTTTACACCCCTCTCACATGGAGAATGGTCCACAAATATTTTATTGTGTGTGGGCCCCCCTCCATGTGAGGGGGGTGTAAAGTCGTGTGTTCATAGCATCCCCTTTTTTTTTTTTTTCGTATTGGATGGCTCTTTTCTTTAGCCAATTTTCCATATTTCAAAATCAATAATGCTCCAAGTACAGGAGCATTATTGCCAGGGGCCTCACAGGCACCTCACTGTGCCGAGGCCCCACATGTGAATTAAAAAAAAAAAAATTGGCCCCACCCCACCAAATGTATCATGCCTGACAGGGGCCTGTAAGTCAAGCCCATGTACTCCAAGCATGGCTCTTTCAAAATTGTACCTTTATTTAAATAAATTTCTGTTTTCGTCATTCATAATGGCCTATATTGTGCACGGTCAAGAATAATAAATAGCCTTTTTACTAGAAGAAATTTTTTTAATGGTTCCTTTCCTGAACCCGTATCGACTTTTTAAATAAATTGGTAGAGATATTTTAATTTTTGCTTCAACCCAGCTCGAACCAGTTCCGTCCTCCATTGTCAACCCTAACTAAAAGTCGACATGTTCCCCATTTCCTAATTAACAATGTTACTAAAAAGGGCCAAATCTAGATCAAAACCCACATGAAGAGTAAGTGGAAATTACGCTGTACCAGCTTTTCAAGATCATACTTACAAAATCAGATAATAAATTTATTTAATCATAAATTGAGTGTTAATTTAACTATTAATATTAACAACAACAACAATAACAATGATATATCCAACCTCATCCCTCTCCATCTAACCTACACCATCGGTGTCGCCACACCTACTGCCGAGACCACCGTCAAACCCAAAGCGACGAACGCTCACCATGGAGTCGTGACTACTAACAGCTAGCTCAGGCTAAAGCTGCTATTAAATGCCATATTGTTGGAGATCCGATTTAGGTGTTGCCACTGCAGGAGATTGCACCGTCACTATTACCTTTTGTCCATCATTTGAGTGACACGAATTTTGTCTTTTCATGACACAAAAGACAATAATATTAATGATAAGGAAAAGTCTACATGTACATAATATATATGTATATAACAGTGTCCATAACGTGATGTGGACAAAATTATGTTGTTGATGTGAAAGTGTGATATTTGAATTATTGATTGGATCCAATACCACGTATAATTATGGACAATATTATGTATAAATTTATGTACATGTAGCACTTCTCTAGTATGTTTCTTTCTGTACTTAAGAAATGAGATAATATCACAAGTGTAAATATGTAATTAATTAATTTATAATTCATCATAGCTCCCTAGTAAATCATCATAACGTAAACTAGAAGGAAAAAAACCTCCAAACTGCTCATCCATTTGAGAGCTAAACACCTTATCTATAGGCTGTAAGAATGAATCTGAACTTGTAGTTGTAGGAGATCCTCTACAAGTGTCCATGGAAGAAATCAAAGATGCGTGTTCATCATCCACCGTAGACTTAGGTAGTACTCTATCATCTTCACAAACAATCTCATGAAAATCTGCATCAGCACCATTGGCTTCCATGTACCGCGATACATCGGAGTGTCTCCCGGTGAGTTCTTGCACGAGGGAAGGAAACCTCGACACGCTAGTCTTCACCTTCATGGGGCTAGATATGTACACAACTTTGAGTGAATTGCTTTTGTTATTTCTCTTACTCTTTGTCTTCGTTTTGCTCTCCATCACTCTTGGAACACTTCGAATATCCATTTCTACTTCAATCCTCTAAATCGGGTCGGAAAAAGAATTTCACGTCCTTTCTTTCGGGGTGCGGGTGGTGAGAGAAACCCACAAGATGATGAAAGATTTATATAGGTAAGGATGTGGAGATTCTTATGGTACAAGGGTGTTTCTTAGAAAGAGAGAAGATTGAATGATTTGGTTGGAAAAAATGATGGCTTGATAGAGAAATAGGAAGATCAAAGGAAAATAAAGAAGATTACATAAAGTTGCTTGAATGACCCGTAAGCTCGTAATTTTTCTACAAGATCTTAGGGTAAAAAATTGACTTCTAGCGATGTTACAAGAAAAACCCATGTTTTATATCACGTGCGCAGACAAAAATGACTCAGGAAATTATAAGTTTTCTACAAAAAGATTGTGTGTGCAAATGCTATTGGTGGATATTTTGGAATATCTTAGGTTAGAGGCGGTAAAGGATCAAATGAAGATGGATATTTGTTATTGAACACGTACGGCTAATTATGTTTTTTGATGGTTTGTGTTTTTTTGTTTTTTTGACACTTTCCAGAGATGTTTCGTTCAATGAATTTAGTTATTAGATCGATCGATCGAGAGAGAGAGAGAGAGTACGTGTCTCGTTTAATAGCCATATGCGTATTTTTTTATTAAAAAATAATAGATTTGTAGTCAATTTTTTCTAGAATTTAATTACTTTATAATGCGGATGACTTTCATAGCGTACAAAATTGTGATTTTTCTAATATTCTGACTAACGAAGTTAATTATATTGTTATTTTTAGTTTGCAATGACAATTAGTAGTGATCCAATCCGGCCAATATATATGTACTTATCAAAATATCCATCATTTGCGTGAAAACGAAGTTCAACAATTATGCATCTAACTAATTGAGATTGCATACAAGTGGCTTGCTGAATAATACCAAGGTTTAGGAAGAGTAGAGGATTTTAACTTTTGTACTAAATGTGATACACATTTGCTTCTTGGTTCTGTTGTTTTTCATTGTCGACTGCATCATGAAAGTGCCAATAGTGGCTGAACGATCTTGTGTGAAGCATCAGTGGATCATAGCCAATAATATATAATGGGTTACTAAGCCCCCATTCGATAANTATTAGGGGAGGATTACCCTCACCTTATTAAGTGGATCATTTATATCTTCCCAAGTAATGTGGGATGCTAATATGCCCCCTCACGCACAGCGTGGGGCATGCCAAACAATTGTGAACAAATCGATATTGGGTGCACCCAACATTGCAAAACTGGGTCTGCTCTGATACCGTGTTAGAAAAGATATTTGGTCTAACTCAACCTAACAAAATCGGCTTGTTATGGGAGGATTGCCCTCACCTTATTAAGTGGATCATGTAAATATCACCAGTTAATGTGGGATTCTAATACTTTGTTTGAGAAGATGAAAATCGTGATTTAATTGGGAGAAATATGTCTTGATAGGAGAGCGAATGTGGGTGTCGTTATCTGGATTTTTGGCTAGGGTGTGGAGGAAAAGCTTTTTCAGATTGCGGTCTAACAGGTTTATGATTCAGTATATGGATTCTTTTCTTGTTCTTTTGCAAATTATGATGGGACAAATCCTTCTAACATCATTACAAGCAGTTTGAATTATACAAAAATTATCTATTTAGATTACTAGATATATTCATATGAAATATCCATTCTAATTATTTAGGGAATTATGCTCAAAGTGCTGCTGATTATTGAGCATTAGAAATACAAATTTTTCCACACAGCTCAGTTGGTTCCCTTAGAATTTTATTGATTATTAGTCTTGACTGTATAAGTTGGCAATAGATAAAATGGCCAAACAGGAGTTAACTGTTTGAAGGTAAAACAGATAAGATTAGTTAAAAAACTGATTTATTTTTGTAATATATTATAAATAAGTAGCTGATTGATGCCAGCTAAACGGTTACAGCATCTTGAAAAGACTCTTTATTCTAAAAAAGTATCTTAGTCATAATAAAGAGCATGTTGGGTTTTTTGATACCCAATAAATCCGGGTTATGATGTTAAACCGTTTTGTTGGATTAGACTTCATAGGCCTCGACCGATGATTGAAGTGAAATGTCAACACCACAATGAATGAATCATCCCGACAACCTAAGTGGGCCATATCATAGGCATCATCCGATGATTGAAGTAAAATGTCGACACCACAATGAACGTATCATCCCGACATATTAAGCGGGTCAGTTGAAGTAGCCTAATTTCATTAGCGTTGCTCATGGCCCGACCCACTACCTTGGACGGCTTTAAGGTTGAAAGCCCACTTGTTGTTATATATTGGGCCTCTTATTAAGATAACCTAAAAGCCTATTATTGTTGGTATTTATGCATCCCGGTTTCTAGTGTGTGAGTGTGTGGAAGAGATGTAGGAGCCATGAGTTTGAGTGAGAGGAGCGTGGCTTTGTGCTCTTGGGTCTTGCTTTGTACCTACCTTGTCTTCTCCTTCCTCTTTAGCCTTAGTGGCTATTTTTTGAGGCTGCCTAACTCTTCACACCGAGTCCTTTGTGGGCAAATTCTTGTTGAAGCAACCGGTGTTGGGAGGTGTCGGTTTTTTGAGGTTTGTTAGTTGTTATTGTGGTGGTCGATTGGTGGTTTATCCGGTGTTGGGAGGTGTCGGTTTTGGAGGTTTGTTGGTTGTTATTGTGGTGGTCGATTGGTGGTTTATTTGAACGCGGTTTGGATTGATTGGAACCCCAAAATCATACAGAGCAACTAAATTTTTTTTTTACAATTCAAAGAGCTCTTTATTTTTTGCTATTTGTTTTACTTTTTTCCATATTTTTAATTAACATATAATTTAAGATACCAATAGCTAAAATATCAATATAATATACTTGTTAACAAAAATTCAATATAATATGAATAATTTAAGTAGTGAGATCGAAACTTGCAATCTTATTAAATGCAATTACGATAAAATACAAAAATAGAGAGTGGGTTTGTCTCTCTAAATGTAGAGAAGCCAAACACACATCTCATTCCTTTGGGTTTTTTTATTTTTTTTGGGTACATCTTTCGGGCCTAAGATCTTGCAATAATGGTGTGGTCCACGTGTCCTATTTTCAGATGTTTAGGATGATTCAGAAACAAGACTGGTATACACACCTGATGTGTATGGGTACAAAGACTTGATCATTGCATTAGCTAGATGCAAAAAGATGGACGACGCAATGGAATTATAGGAAAATATTAGAAAGGAAGGTTTGTTCGCTGATTCTCAGACATGTGCTGAAGTTATTCGTGGTTTCTTGGCATATGGGTCTCCTGCTGATGCCATGAACATTTTCGAGGACATGAAGTCTCCAGATCCACCCAAGGAATTACCATTCAGGATGTTATTGAAGGGGCTTCTGCCACATATGCTGAAGTTATTTCGTTAGTGAAGTTACTTCCAAATTTGTCCTTATCGTTTAGAAACAGGAGCAATTCGCCAAGATATTTTTTACTTGAAGAGCAGCTTTTGATCGTCCTTTTACATTAGTTTGACAATCTACAAAAGAACTATACACCTTTCGGGATGTGATATTTAAATTTATGTTTTTAGAGAGCTAATCGTTCATGCATTATCTACCCTTTCGAATGAGATTTGGACTTCGATAGATAATTTTACCCGATTCTGCGTATTGTGCAAGATTTGCTATGTTAACATTTTCACAATAGGACTAATTATGATCATAATTGTTTAGGACCAGGCAAAATGTCCAAACCGAATTGAACGATTTTTCTTAAATGAAATACTCGAACAAGTATCAGAATCGAGAATCGAATGGTTTGGTTCGGTTCTCGATTCTAGACCAAGAATCGAAAAATCAATTTTTTTTTATATTAGATAAATCAATTTCTTTTATTTTTAATCGTAGCAGAAAATATCCTTGTGGTGTTTTCTTTATTCTTTCACTTTTATGTTTCTGTTTATGGTCTGTATGTTTATGTTTCTTGGTTGTTAGTCTAATCATACTTGTTCTCTCGTCCTTTCAGTGGTATCAGAGCCTGGGTTGCTGAATCTTGATACCGAACAAACGAGTTAACTGTGTATGCTAAACCTATTCAGAACCAGTGTGAACTTTTATGAAGGAACTCGAGTTTAATATACTCGCTTGGTGAGATCTTTCCTGTATTCTTAAAAGTAGTTGTCTAATTTCTACTTTACCTTATTCTCTAATACACTTCCTGGAGCTCTGTCTTTGTCCAAAGGCCCCTGAGAGGCCTTGGGAATCTGAGATAAACTCAGGACTAAGGTGTAATTGGAGGACCTTGCTTAAGAATAGGGTCTGTAATTTCTGTTTAAGTTCCTCTAATTTTCACTAGAATAGTTGTTCATTGTTTGATACATAAACCTGTGTGCATTACTACTGTATAATTGTGTTTCAACTAGTACTATTTGCTTGTGTGCTTATCTGTGTGTAACTGGCTTTATTCGTGCCCATTACCTTGACATATATGATGGCTACCACCAAGTTTGAATTACATCAATATGATGGGAGAGGAGATTTTAATATGTGGAGTCAGAAAATGAGGGCTGTTTTAATGCAAATGAAGTGTGCAAGAGCCTTAGATGGCTCTTGGCCTGAACAGTTAGGTGATACTAAAAGGACTGAATTAGAAGAAGTTGCCTGGAGTACTATCTTCCTTTACCTTTCTGACAATGTGATCAGATCTATTGGAGAGACTGAAACTGCAGCAGATCTCTGGGCCAAACTAAAAGCCAAATATGAGCCAAAAACTGTTCTAAATAAATGTTTTTTGCTAAAACAATTCTTCTCTTTTAAAATGGATCCTTCTGTGGATTTAGAAGAAAATCTAAATAGGTTTACCAAACTGACCCAAGACCTTGCAAACTGTGATGAAAAACTTTCAGAGGAACAGTTGGCTGTGGTCCTGTTAAACTCCATTAGTGACAGACATAGAGACTTAAAGAATGCTCTTGAATATGGGAGAGATAACCTCTCTACTGATATTATTATCAATGCCCTCAGGAAT